GTTTTTCCCCCACTGAAGTACTTGGGGACCAGCTGGTCTACACTGCCTACTAACGGATACTAAGTAGTCTATTGTGGGGCTTTCATTGACTGGATCCCCCAAATGCCTTTCTTACATCCTGAGAACATAATAAACACAATAGGTAGAGGCCCTAAGACCAGGTGATCTCTCAGAACCACAGCTGAGCTACTACACAAGACTTTGGAACATGGTGGCTTGGGGTCTCAGATGCATTTTTTAAATACTTTTGCCATATGGAGAAAAGTTGGTAATGGCATGAAATCCTGAAAGTATATCTTGTGACCCAGTAGTCTAGATATTTGCCTGATTTGAATTTTTTTTCTTAAGAAACAACTGCCACTTATTGAACACCAACTAGTGCTAACATATGATCATTTCACCTCCACTTTACAGGTGAGAACTGGAGGGTAATAAGAATTTAAGCAACTTGCTCAGGATCACATGGGTGGTTAGGAGGCAGCTGGCATTTGAACCCGGCCACCTGGCTTCAGGGCTCGTACATTTAATCACTGGCCTGTTCTGCCTCTTGGATATCATTAAGTCAGGCAATGGGGGTTAATCCTGGCAACAGCCCCACATGCCAGATATTATACCCAGTACTTGATGAAACTTAGACTCCAGAAAGCAAAATAACTTGAGCAAGGTTACCTCTTTTTTTAAGTGAGTGAAAGCTAGACAAAGTAGATGTGCTCCTTTATGCTCACATTTCCTTCTCCATGGGAAGGGCATTCCTGGGCAAAGCAGGCTGTACGCTTGAGTGCAATGCAAGTAGGCAACTCAGAAAAAAACAAAAAACAGATTTCATTTTTATCATATCTTAAGGGGCAAATTGTGAACCCTTGCCAACGCCCATGTGAGTTTAGGTAGGAAAGGTCAAAAGGCTCCTTGAGTAGTCGTGTCCCCTTAAGTCCCCATTACATACAAAGCTGGCGAGCTGGTGAGCTGAAATGTAAATTCTGCTGACCCTGAAAGTGCCAACTTCATTTTATGAATGAATATGTGGGTGCTAATTTAATCTAATTGATTTCGGTTCAGCCTGGCAGCCTCAGAAAATAGAGGAGTCAGATAGCTTTCTGCTGAGGTCCAATTTCTGGAGGAGGCCAGTTTATGCTCCATAGCCCGGAGCGCTCCTGGCCCTCAGCTTGCATGCCTAACCCAAGCAGACAGAGCCCTGCACGCCCTCAAGAGGATCGTGCTTCCGATCGCTCACCGTTCTGCGCTTTTGTTCCTGGTGTCTGGGTCTAGATGAATGGGATTTACATAGTTTTAATAAATATTAATAACCATTTTAATCTCAGTAAACCTTTCAGATGAGACAGTCTTTTCAGTCTCGCCGCGAGAGTGAAGCAATCATTTTGCAAAGCTGTGCCAACTTTCCCAGGCCTTTCTGGCCCCATTTAGGCTGGGTCTGTGTGACGGGGAACATGTTTGGGGAGAAAACAAACAAGGGCTTAGGACGGGCGTGCAGGCAGATCTCACCCATCAGCACACTCCCATTTGCAAACATTGTGTCCTTGCCGGTATTTTTCATTTATTTACCATCTGTGTTCTATTATTTTTGTAGTGGGATGTTTTATGATATTAAGGATAATTCTAGAAGTTAATATTGCTTACCATGTGCTTACTCTGCACCCAACAATGAACTGCATTTCTAAATGCATGATTTCAGTCAATCCTTCCAGTTACTTTCTTAGACATCATTGTCATCCCCACATTACAGAGGAGGAAACTGAGTCTCACAGAGTTTGTTTGTCCCGGATCACATTACCAGTAAATCACATAACAGCGTATCCATGTTCTAACCGAGGTTTGTTTGCTTCTAATGATCTCTGGCTGTCAATGGAATCATTTTATCATTAACCTTCTTGTTGAAACCAAAATATTTAGAACAAACAGTATTGTACAGTTGGAAAAACATTGATTCAAGTGGGGGGGGGGAGCAGTGAGAGGAAGGAAGAGAGAGAGAGAGAGAGAGAGAGAGAGAGAGAGATCACTTCAAAAAGCCTAGTGGATTAGGAGCTATAAAGTGAATTTTAAAATCTCTTTCCATCCATAGGATCAGGCTGAACGAGTTTCACATTCATGAGCCATTAGAGCTGGAAGGTATTTCAGAAATTACCTAGTTCAAGCTTCTTATTTTACACATGAGGAAACTGAGGAACAAAGACGTGAAGTAATTCATTCAAGGTTATCATAATCATAAACATTTGGATTATTCCCTCGGAGAGTTGCTTCTTCTTACTATTACTAAGTTATTACTTCTTAACGCATTTTGAGATCTATACAGACCAAATGCTATACTACAAAATAAAGCATTTTGCTATGACTTATTTCTCTTTGTGTAAATCATCATCTGTCTTAGCAGATGGGAGTTCTAGAATACTTACAACCAAGCACAAATGAAGTCAGCATGATTATTCTCCAGAACCATCAAAATTTTCCTGTTCCCAAACCCAGATGTTCATGTTCCATTCTCAAAAGGATGGCCGTTCCCTCTAGTTCAAAACTGATGCCCTGTGTTGATGGTTTGTGTATCTCAGAAGAAATTCCCCCACAGTAGATGGGAATTAGCTGTTTATGTGTTTGCACCATTGCTGGACAGCCGGTTGTCCAATGAGCTCTCTGCTGGTGGGGACCCTGTGTGTCATCATTGTCCTCAGTGCTTTAGTACAAGCCCTTGCACAAAGTCTATACTCATTAAATGTTTGTTGAGTAAATGATGGATGGTGACTGTAAAGATCAGGAAATCTTTCTCATCAATAAGGCATTGGAATGAGAGGTTTATCATTAACACTTATGGAAAAACCGAGCAGAAACATGGAAAGGCACCCTGGGCTCAGGTACAGACCCAACCAAACTCTAGACTGATAGTGCGAAAATATTCAAATACCTTTTCAGGGTAAGACTATCCTATCCCAGTTAGTTAACCAGAAAATAGCCAGCGGTCACTAAGGTATCCTATACTATCATAATTTTTAAGAGGCAAAGTCGTGATATGAAAAAGTGAAGGAGCACCCTAGAAATTCCTTTGAGTTACACTGTGGGAGGAGTTTTTTAGTATATTTTCAAAGTTAAACCTATGTCTCCCCAAGTAACATAAAAATTTCAATGATGACACTTCTGTGAAAGCTCCAGCCCCACTGAAGACTGATTCGTACATTCTTTCTCATCAACTTATATTGGCCATTGTGCCATATGCCAAAGAGATAAACATGAAAAAGATACACTCTCCTTCCCTCAAGGAATTTTCAGTCTTGGCAGGAGGAGTAAGAAAGAACACATAAGTAAACACACCATTACAATAAAGTTGGATTAAGACAACTTGCTCTCAAGTCAGACCACCAGGGCTCAACTCCCACTCCATATTTTGCCAGTTGTAAGACACTGGGTTACTGAACTTCTCAAAGCCTCATGTCATCAAGTGTAAAACAGGGATAATAATGTACCTGTCATGCAAAGCTCTCGATGGGTTAAATGAGATAATATATACATGCTTAGTGGAGAATGTGGTGTGTATTCAAAAGTAACTATGAGAACAGTGGTTCTTATACTCCTATTGGAAGTTCTTTAATGGCAACATGAACAGGGGAAGGTACCTAACTATAAAGGGCTGGGGTGGGGGTAGATGAAGGCAACTTCCTGAAGACCCATAAAGATGTGGGCAGATTGTAGCCAGGATGGTAGGAACTGGGACAACAAGTGGCTGGTCTCTCCTTTAGGTATCTGATGGGACATGACCAAAGTCTTGGAGGCACGTAAAAGCTATTCAAGAGAAGTCGTATACTTCCGACCAGCTGGATCAGAGAACATGAAAACTGGCAGCAGGTGAAGCGAAGATGGAGAAGGTGGATCATAGACTCATCAAGGGCCTTATTTTACTTTGAAGCCCTTGGAAGTCATTGAAGAATTTGAATCAGGAGAGTGACATGAGAGAAGGTGACATTTTGGAAGGGTCCCTCTGGGTACAGTGTACCGTGTTTCCTCGAAAATAAGACCGGGTCTTATATCAATTTTTGTTCCAGCAATCTACATTTATTCATGTACAAAAATCTACATGTATTCAAACAGTCATGTCTGGCTGACGATCTTAACTGTTGCTTATGTTTGGGGTAGGGCTTATATTACGAGCATCCTGAGAAATCATGCTAGGGCTTAGGTCTTATTTTCGGGAAAGCACGGTAGACAAAATGGCTCAGAAGACACTAGACAAGGAGGCAGTGGCAATAATGCGGGTGAGAAATGATCAGAACCTAAATTATGTCAACAACAATGGGAGCAAAAAAAAAAGAGAGATGAGGTTTTTTTTTTTAAGAAGAAAAGGGTAGGGCTTGGCAATTAACTGGATGTGAGAAACAAAGGCAAGATGGAGCCCAGGAACCAGGATGACACGCAGACTTCTGGCTTGAAAGAGTGGATGGATGAAAGAGCAGGTCGTGGCGAAGATGACACGTTCAGTTTGGGACGTGTTGAGTTTGTGATTCTTGATGGGACATTCGGGGAGAAATGGCTAGCATACATTTGGAATAGAAAAGTCCAGCACTCAGAAGAAATACAAATTTTTAAATCATAAAGAGGATCCAAGAAATTATTTTGTGTTGAAAACACTTGATCTAAAGCCATCTACTGAATCTATTGTTGTTTTTGTTAAGATGAAAACACTAAAGACAGATTGTGTGGTTCTTCTAGAAGACAAGCTTTCGATTTTATTAAAATAAATGACTCACATTGACGAAGAGAATAATGGCTTCTAAGGTATCTTACAATGCTAACACTACGATTCTGTTATTCCAAAACACCGTTAGGAATCTGGCATTGTCTTTGATGACAGTAAACATGTGGCCTAAAAACTTCCTTCACGGGTGTGTGGAATACATATTTTTTAATGAAACCTCAGTCTCTATAAAGTCAGACAGCCCCAAACATGCAGTGACTACGTTTATGAAAAAGAAAAACCAAGTAAAGACACTATCTACATTTACCTACTCTGGTCCCAATTGGCTGCAAAGAGCAGAAGGATCTTCCTGCCGTAGTGGTCGCGGTTTTCCAGCACTCCAGGGAACCCATCGATGAGAGCCCTCTTAATTCCGGGATCATCGGCCTTGAAGTTTTTGAACATGTCCAGGTTTAGCTGGCGGTACTGGAAGTACTGGGCCAGGAGTCTAAAGGCATCTGCTTGGTGAAACTTCCTGGCTCGGAGGAATCTCAGGATGAAGGCATCATCTGTACGTAAAAACCCTATGTCAGGCCTGGTGATGATCATGTCTCTGACTTGCTGAATATCCTGATGTAAAACATCTGGGTTTTCATTCAGTTCCAGGCGTGCTTTCTCTATAGTCTCTGGACTGAGTCCAGCCTGTAAATGGGTCATCTTGGCCAAATCTGTCCAGATGCTTAATTTCTGATCTTTGGGAAGAAGAGAGAGACTGGTCCCATTCACGTGATGGTCTGCTGAAACCGTGGCCCATTCAACAGTTGTTTTACTACCAGGCTGCCACTGAAACAGACAGATCAAGGGTCTTCTTTCTGTTCCTGGAAAGCAGTAGGTCATTCAGGTGTGGTGGAAGCCATCCAAAAAAGGAGCAAAACCGAGGCTGTTGCTACTGCAAAACAAGAGAAACAAAACAGAAATGATACAAAGAAAGGTTGCACAGATGAACTGAATCTTAGATAGAAAAGCAGTCCATTTTGCTATAGGCTTGATTAGATTAGATAAAGGACCCGTTATCTTTACGATAGTACCAGGGGTGCCAAAGAAATGCATACACATTTTAAGAGATGTTATCCATGTATTACTTTTTGAAGTGGAATTGAATTACGTAACAATGTGCAGTATGACATTCGCTCAAAAGATGGTGTTCATCAAATGAATGCTGGCGTCACTCATTGTATTACAATTTTAATACAGTTTTTTTCTTTTCTTAAAATGTGTATACATTTTTTGGCACCCTCTGTGTATTGGGCATAATTTTATTAACAACAACTTAAATGCATAAATATGCACGTATTTGATATATTTTGGGGAATTTTTTAGTTACATTGACTTGTTCACATAATAGTATATGGTCAGATTAGTAATAGATTGCTCTTTTATTAATCACCCTAAGAGGCAGTAAGAGAAGAGAGATCCTTTCGTGTTACAGCATGCTTTATGGGGCTATTCACAGGCCTAGATACGGCAGAGAAATTATGGCTGCCGTACAATTTATTGCTTCCCATTAGCCTCTTTTGTCAAATAGAAGTATCTTTCACAGAAATCCCCCCTCCCCTACCTTTTTAAAGACAGCCATTTGTACCTTAACAAAAAAAGGCACTGCTAAAGGCCTTTTACCCTAGCCTAACTCCAAAGGTACCCAATTACTCAAACCTAAACTAACAACAGTGGGGGGTGGGGAAAGGAATGACAGGCTTAGGGCTGGAAATTTGCAATAATCGAATTCAACAGCATTGATGAAGGATGCTTAGATGTGGACATTTACAGCTGTTTTGTTCTTTGTCTTTGTCACCTGTCTGCAGGGAAGGCAAAGGGGCTTGAAACTCTTTGTTGCCTCCCTACCTAATGCTATATCTACGCAGGCTTAAAAGTCATTCCATTTTCTATAACTTTCTGTTGTCTGAGATATTATTTCACCTGTGATAATGACTGAGTGTTTTAATCACCTGAGATACATCTCTTATGATTTCACCACCTAAACAGTACACAGAGAGACATCCATAGTTTTCTCATTTTAAATATAAACATTTAAACTCAGACATCTGTTTCGTCTAACCTGGAAGTTCCAAAAATCAGAAGACAAAAATAAACTTGGAGGCATGTATTTTTTTTTCCCCTAGCTCCCCTAGGTCAACAGTATTGCAATAAAAGGCAGAATATTTACTTCCAACCTAATTATTGTTGGCAATGCTTTGTCATACAAAATAATTTAAAAGCCAAACGATTCTTCTGCTTAATTTAGGACTAGTAGTACTTTCTTAAGAGAATCAATCAACTTACACATTTCTGCTTCATACTGACTTTGCAAAATAGCATTTAGCTCTGTAGTTTGTGGAGACGAGAAATAGAACAGAGTCTTGATTCTCACTAATTTTAAGGAAAGGAAATAGCAAAGGAAAACAATGCTATGAACTATTCCCAGGATTGGAAGACACTTCAAAATCCATCCAGTTCGTTGACCATCGGATGTTAAGATTCCCTTTCTAATAGCCTCTCCACACCCCTTCAGAAAGTTCCCTTGTTTGATGTCTCCCTCTTCCAATTCACCTCTACACCCACTGCAATCTATTTTTTTTTAGGTTTTCTCAGTTTTGTTTTTTTTATTAAAGTTTGTTGGGGGTGACAATGGTTAGTAAAGTTACATAGGTTTCAAGTGTACAAATCTGTAATGCATCATCTATATATCACATTGTGTGCTCACCACCCAGAGTCAGTTCTCCTTCTGTCTTTGACTGCTCTTACCAACCAATAAACAGGATGACCGTACAATTTATTATCCAAATTTAGACACTAGGGGGCACTAATGATAATAATGCTGGAAGAACAGGCATTGGCAGGGACAGTGGGTCACCCTACTCATGAATGACCTTTCTGTTATTACATCCAATAGACAAATTTCAATCTTATGGGTGACCTCTAGTATTTGATACAGATGACTTCATTCTTCTTAAAACTCTCTCATTCTCCCACTCGCTTATGTGACTCTATATACGCTGATTTTTTTCTTCACCTTCTGTCCATTCCTGTTCAGTCATCTCTTTGTGTGATCACCACTTAAATGTGGTGTTTTCCAGAATCCCACCCCATGATTTGACTACCTACCTGTGGAGAACGTCAGCCCAAAGCTCTTTCCTGATCTTCAGGCTACATATCCAATGAACACCTCCACTTAGATGCCTATTGACACCACAAACGCAGTATGTTCACAACTGAACTAGCCGTAGTTCCTCATTCTGAATCCACCCCTCCACCTCCATCTCTCAGTGGCTGCCGTCATCTGCCGTCTCCCACACTAGAAACCTGGGAGTCAGCTATCATGCCACCCTCTCCCTTACCGCCCACTTCCAGACAATCACTAATATTTCTCAGACCTGCCCAATTTTTTTCCATCCATTTTCACCGTTTTTGTTTAGGCCCCATCACACCTCATCTGATTGGAACAGCAACATTCTCCCTACAGTGGCCTTGCTGCCTTTTTTTCCAGTTTATTCTCTGTATTACAATTGAAATCTGCTCATGCCACTCCCTGATTGACACTGATCAATAGCTACCAATTGTCCTAGGATAAAGCATAAAGCTATGTAACATGGTTTCTGAGACCCTTCACCACCTGGTCCCTGCCTGTCTCTCCAGAGTCACCATCCGGCCATTGAGCCACTCGCTGTTTCTTGTCACTTCTGTGGGCCTCTCTGCCCGCAGGGGCCGCTGATGAACTCCTCTTGGCCCTTCACGCGTCATCCTGGAGTTCATTTTCTCCAGGAAACCCTCACTGATCTTCAGAGGTCATAGGTAGTTATAGCGCTCCAATACACCACACTTTATTGCCTTTTCCCTCTCTCCTTCTTTACTCTGAACTCCTTGCAGCAAAGAGCTGGGTCTCACTCGTTTGTGTATCCCCAGTGCAGTGTCTGGCACCTCATGAGCACAGCCACTTGGTTGTGTTCACCACCTATCCTCAGTGCCAAGAACAGTGCCTGCCACAGAGTAGGTGCTCTATAAATACACGCAGATAAGTGAATAAAGTAGTCAAAATGTTGTTTCAGTGACTAAGTGGTCTCCCCTTCTGTGTAGGTATGTCTAGGATGCTCTGAGGGCATTGCAGCTGATTTTTAATTTCCTCCCTCATTTACAAAGTATGTTTTCTTAGGAGAGCTTAGCCTAGGCACGTTGTACTTCATATCATCACCCCTCGAAGCATGCTGCATGATGGTACAGTTCCCAGCCACGGCCCAGAGTGCTTAGAGCACAAGGCAGAGCACTGGTTCGTCCCGCACAGGAGATTTAAAGCTGCTGGGAGTAAGTTACTTAGCTCAGGGAGCTCAACAATGTTTCCTAGATAAATTACTGTGGGGTCAAGGGGAGAGGTGAGGTTGCATTTTTCATGGCCCAGTTCCACACATAGCTGTGCCTGCAATCTATAATATGTGAAATAAATTTGCTTCAATCTATATCTTTATTCTGTGCTCAGCATACAGTGGAAGCTTCTGGGGAGAATACCCAAGCCAGGGTCACTGGGTTTCACACTTCAGATGAAATAGATATTTTTCATTAAAAGCAAATTCTTCATTTCAGAAGTCTGAAAAGACCACTACTTAAATAACAACTTCAACTGATAATATTTAAGGCCCTAAAAATGCTAGGCTATACAAGAATGTTCTCTAGGATGTAGCATTTTTCAATTGACTGTATTCTTTTTTTTTTTCCTTGTGAAGGACTTGGTTCTCATTTAAGTTTTCTGAATTGGTCAAACAATTATAAAAGGATACATTAGTCTTGGTATCACGTGAAGAAGCAGAAGTGGTTTTCTGTCCTGGTGGTATTAATAATAATAATAGCTACAACTTATTATTCATTATAGCTGTGTTTATTATGTCCCAGGCACTTACATACTCTTTAGTTATATATACTACATTATTTAATCCTTGGAAGAGAACTGTATGAAATGAGTATAACATGGTCACTATTTTTCACATGAGGAATCTAAGGTATAGAAGAAGTCAAATGACTTTCCCAAGGTTACACAGCTACTAAAAAGTGGAAACTGGATTCAAACCCAAAGATTCTTTCTCCAGCCCCATGCTAGTCACTACTGTGCTATTCTGCCTTAAGTATAGCAGAGAGGTTTTAATATTTACTACTTTACACCTATGTGGCCTTCATCAAGTCACCTTTCCCTCTCAGAGCCTCACTCTCTTTCCTAAAGTCCATTCCAGGTTTAGCATTCCAGAAACTAAATGTTGGCCTAAGGTGCCAACAGACATTCTTAGGTAGCCTCATACCATAGCTTACAGATACCCAGTTGCCATCATGTCTTCGTTTCTTCATTGAAAGACAACTGAAACTCTTTAAACCTTCGCTGGCTATGCCTTTTCCAGTTATCATAATTGTTTGCCCTTCCTTTATGTACTCTCCTGGGCTAAAACGCCAGATCAAAGAACCCTGCCATTCTATTAGAAGGGTTGAGGCTTTGCCATGCCGAGCAGAGTGCCGCGCTTGACCTGGGCAGTAAAATGCACTTGGATAAAAAAAGAGCATGTTAGGCAGATTCCTGTCAGTCTCAGAAACCATCTTTCCCATTGCTGCTTGGGTCCCCAATGGCTCTTTATTTAGAGATCATTCCAAATACATGGAAGGTAACTCACCGCACCCTCTAGGGAACCCAAGGTAGAAACTAACTTCCACTTTAAATCCGTGCTTTTTCTAATGAACTAGAAAGTTAGGTAGCAGTACTTTTGTCTAAGGGAAAGGAGAGTCTCTATATCATGATATTTGTAAGCATGACATTCATAGATTCCAGAGACATACTTCATCTTAAATTTCCATTAGAAAAAAATCTATTTATACACACACACACACACACACACACACACTTATAAACACACAACCTAG